CTCTGACTCAGCCTTGAGGAACTCTCGTCTGGGTAAAGTTGGTCTAAAAATTCCTGAGCGCTAAGAAAAGATTCTTTCAGCTCCCAGATCCTCAACTGGTTTTTTTTCCACAACGCTATGGGCTGAATTCTTTTTTTTTTATTTAATTTAATTTATTGGTACGTTCTAGGTAGACAGTACATCTGCATTCATTACTGGGATCTTGTACCTCTACATGACAGGTCTTGGTTCTCATTTTTTCCCCTTGTCCCCACCCTCCCTTCACCCTCCCCTAACCCCTTCAAATACTTAATTCCATTTTTACATTTTCTCATATTTTTTTCTTTTCCCTTATTCCCCCTTCCCTATCCTTCTCACTGTCCCTACACCTTTGGTCCTTTTCTTCCTATTTGCTAATTGTCCCATTAGGATCTTGAGTACTGTTTTAGTTTTTCACACCAGAGAAACTATTCGGTTTTTGCATATGGGTGCCTTATTTATTTCACTTAGAAGTATATCCTCAAAATGTACTCATGTAACTGAATGAATCTCCTTTCTCATTCTTTATGGCTGAGTAGTATTCCATTTTATAGAAAAACCACATCTTCTTTATCCAGTTTCCAATTGATGGGCAGATGGGCTGTTTCCAAGTTTTAGCTATTACAAACTGTGCCGCTATAAATATAGGTGCGCATATATCACTGTGGTATGATTCTTTCACTTCTTTTGGAAAGATACCCAGCAGGGATGGCTGGGTCAAATGGGACCTCCAGTCCAAGCTCTTTGAGGTATCTCCATATTGATTTCCATAGTGGTTGCACCAGTCTGCACTCCCACCAACAATGGAAAAGGGTTCCTTTCTCCCCACAACCGCGCCAACATTTGTTATTGTGTGATTTCTTGATAGTAGCCATTCTTTGTGCGGTGAGGTGAAATCTGTGTTGTTTTCATCTGCATCTCTCGAATGACCAGTGATGTGGAGCATTTTTTCATATATTTACTTGCTGCTTTTATTTCTTTGTCTGAGAAATGTCTATTCATTTCAGATGTATGGTCTGAATTCTGATCACTTAGAAAACTTAAGTGTATTGTGTCTTCCTTTCCTTCAAGAGACTCAGCTTGCCACTTTATATAAAAATAAGGGCGGCATTTTCTTGTATGTGATGAGAGTTGAGGGGAGGAGCGAATATGCCGTTGGAAAAATTTTATTTTATTATTTTTATTTTATTTTTAAAGTCAAAAATGGGTGTTGCCAGGTGTGGTAGCGCATGCCGGTGATTCCAGCCCTTGGAAGGCCGAGGCAGGAGGATCCTTGTGAATTCGAGGCCAGCCTGGGCTACCATCCCCACCCCACCCCAAGATTCTGTCTCAAAAAAACAAACAAAAAAGCAGATATTTACTACTGAGTTAATTCAGTTGCTAATACCCTCTAAATGATACACTGAAACTGCATTTTCACACGGTGCCTACCATATGCAAAAGCATTGTGCTGTTTTGGGGTAGCCCAAAAATAAATTACAGATATCATTTGGGTATTTTGGTTTTTGGTTTCTTCGGTTTTTCTTTTCCGTACCAGGGATCAAACTTAGGATCTTGCGCCGTGCCACTGAGCTAAATCTCTGGCCCTCATTTTGGTATTTTGGAGTTTAGTCTTACAGGGGAGAAAGAAGTTTCATACACCGGATGATAGTGTCACATCGCTGTTGGAGAGGTTCCTGTTGGCCCAGGAATGCTGCAGTTTAAAGACGGTTAATGTCATTCCAGTTTTAGTATACTGCTGCCAACACAAGTGCAGTTGTGAATGCTCTGAATACCACTCAGCTGTGCGCTGAAACATTGTGAAGGGATTGGGTATCACTCAGTGGTAGAGCATTTGACCAGCATGTGCAAGGCCTTGGATTCAGTACTCAGCACCACACACACACAAATGGCTAAAATGCTAAACTAAGTTTTATGTAATTTGCCACAATTTAAAATTGTTAAGAGTTGGAAAATTAATAAATAATCAGAGTGTGGTGGCCCACACCTGTAATCCCAGCACTCAGGCCCTGAAGCAGGAGGATTGCCATAAATTCGAGGCCAGCAAAGAACTATAGTGAGACTCTGTCTAAAAAAATTTTTAAAAGGCCAGGCGTGGTGGTGCACGCCAGTACTCGGGAGGCTGAGGCAGGAGGATCGCTGTGAGTTCAAGATCAGCCTGGGCTACATAGTTCCAGGTCAGTCTCAACTATGTAGTGAGACCCTGTCTCAAAAAAAAAAAAAAAAAAAAAAAAAAAGTATCATTACAGAATCTCTGGGTCTAGAGTTTTTCCCTCGAGAGCTAGTTGACCTATTTATGAACTTGAACTCTTCCTGACCAGTTCCCTCTCCACATATGACTATCTCATCATTCTGGTCTCCTGTGAGGCTCTGAGCCAGGTCCCAGAGCCTGGAAGTCATCCTGGGCTCTATTCATTTTAGCCCAGCCTGCATTTGGATAATCACCAAATTTCCACCTCTTCAAGCTTTCAGCTGCCTCTGCTCCTTCCCACAGCCAGTACCTTAGGTGAGCCTTTGTCATCTCATTTATGTCACGATAACCCACCTTCCTCCACCAGATTCTAAGTCTCACTGAGAAACAGATAACATTATCTTTTCACAAATTTGAGGTCAATCAGAGCATAACTACTGATTTTTTTAACAGTATCTATGTTGCCCAAGATGGCCTTAAACTCAAGAACCTCCTGCCTCAGCCTTGCAAGTAGCTGGGATTACAGGCACGTGCCACTGACCCCAGATTTTAAGTATTGATTTTACTATTACTCCTTAACATTTGAAAGTTAATTTATCCTTTCTGAGTGCTCAAGTTTTTCAGCTGAAAAATTAGAATTAAATGAGATTATTTGATAAGTTGGTGTATAGAGCACCTATTATGTACTAGTACCCAACATGTACTGGTTTGAGTGAAAACAGTCTTCTCACAGCTCCTACAGTCCAACATGTGCAGGAGTCAGGCATGCAATAGGGAAACAAAAGTTACCCTCAGCCAGACAGTGGGATTCACCCATAGCTGCAGCTATTTGGGAGGCTGAGACAGTAGAATCACTTGAGCCCAACAGTTCAAGGCCAGCCTGAGCCACCCTGTCTCGATTTAAAAAAAAAAAAAAACAAAAAACTGCAAACAGTTATCCTGGGTGCCAGCTTGAGTTGTTAATAGGATGAGTCATTGGGGACTTGGGAGAGAGTGATTGTATTTTTGCATGTACTAGGAATATAAATAGTTTATTACCAGAAGGAAGACTGACAGTTTAAGATCCAAAATTATTTGACTACTATCAAGAAATATGATCTATTTATTTTCCATTTGAATCTGTGTTTTGTTTTGTTTGACACAGGATCTCTGTGTTGCCTATGTACCCCGGCTGGCCTCAAACTGCTAGTCCTGCCTCATTCCCTGGAGTAACTGAGACTACAGGCTCGCGCTCCTCTGCCAGACCTGGGTGCTGAGATTTCACCAGTGAATAGAGTACTGCAGGGCCACAATCTGGACCCAGGACTTAAGACACTAACGGTTTCTACTTCCTGTTTCTTGGAACAGTCACTCATGGCACCCAGAGACATACTGTGGAGACCGGGGAGCTCCATGGAGAGGCTCACATGGATAGAAAACAGAATCCTCTTCTCCCTCACAACCCTCCAGCCAGTGATGTGAACCTTTTAGAGACTGAGTGCCCAAACTGCCCGCCAAAACCCACTTATTTATAGCAAAGTGCCAATACTGCAATAAAATGTAATACATACTGAGGTTTAGAAAACACATACTGAGTTTAGAAAAAAAACACTAATACACTTGGCTCAGGTGCCACAGAGGATTCTGCGTGCCCGCTACGATGGCCACCAGCTCTCAAAAAGAACCAGCTAGCTTGCCGGCAGTGTGAGTGAACCATTTTGGAAATGTATTCTCCACGCTCAGTTTAGGTACTTTAACTTCCTGAGGACTATTAGAGCAGCTGTGCCCACATACATAAGGAGCTTGAAGTGCCTGACAATTTACATTTCCCTAGAAGAAAAGAATTAAGATGTCTTATGTACTACCAACTCCCCATAATGAATGCAATTATGTGCAGCAAACAGCTAATCAATGTTTTAAAAATTCACATTTTCCTAGGTCAGTGACAGCAAACCAACGGCAAGTGAGGTTTTTTTTGTTTTTGTTTTTAAGACAAAAGACATTAAGAATGAGTTGTTTTTCTCTAAACTAAAACTTCAGTATTTGGTTTAATTGTAGTATTGACACTTTGCAATAAATAAATGGGTTTTGGGTTGCAGTTTGGGCGCTCAGTTTCTAAAAGGGTCACCATCACTGCCCTAGGTAGTGCTTGGGCGGTGACTGATAACAATATACTATCTAGAACTTCAGCGTCCTGGTCTCTATCTTCCAGCCTTTTGATCTATTAAGAAAATAAATTCATGTTTGTTAAGCTAGCTACTCTATGGTATTTTGTTATAGCAGCCCAAACAGACTAATATTCTAAATTATATATAAAACTAGGTAGTGTCCTACCAAGCAATAAGAGGACAATATTTAGAATATCTTCTCTATCAAGCAAGAAACAACAAAAATGATCGTAACATCAATTTTCTACAATTTAACCTCTAACTTTTGAAGGTTATAAATTATTTGGTTCCTTTCACTAGTAAGTAGTAATTCAGAGGAAGTTACAATCCCCAAAAAAGAAATGTATGAGATGAGCTTCATGTTCTGGCATATTAAAATATCACGAAATAATCAATTTCCCCGCATTGGATATTTTCTTTCTACAGAGCTGTCATGTGCAAGCTATGCCATTAACACAGACTCACTTTTGTGTCTTTCCACAATGCCAGAGTTTATTGAATAACAACAGGTGCAAGTATTTTGGATTTCACTTGGAGTCTAATTGGGGCAATCACAAGTTCATTATTCCAGTCTTAATTACTAGTAACTGAGCACTTAGTCACTTTATCACGGCTGGGACAAAATACCTGCCACTCACAATTTAAAAGAGGAAATGTTTATTTTGGCTCATGGTTTTTTTAGAGCATTCAGTCCACAGTCAGCTGGTTCCGAGGCCAGAGGGTCCAATGGAAGAAGGGTCTGGTGGAGGAGAGCTGCTCAAGTCCTGATGGCCAGAAAACAAAGAGGGGAGGAGCCGCAGAGGAAGAGATCCCCTTCTACATTATGCCTCCTGTGACCCACCTCCTAATAAGTCAGCTACAAACACATCACTGGATTAGTCCACAGATGAGAACAGTGCTCCAGGAGCAATCACCTTCCCAAAGTCCCACCTCTGAACACGTGGGGTTTTGGAGGATGTTCTATATCTAAGCCATCACACTCCAGGCAGTTACATTAGGTTACAGGAAGTTGGAAAGGAGCAAAGAGGCTGAGGCATTTACATAAGCAGAGCAAAGCGTCAACACAAACGCCGCACTACAGGTGGTGTGAGGTATTGGGTTAGCAAACCAGTCGTGGTGATGACAGGGTCTCACTATGGTTGAGACTGACCTGGAACTATAACCCAGGCTGGTCTCGAACTCACAGCGATCCTCCTGCCTCAGCCTCCCGAGTGCTCTGCAGTGACTTTTTTTAAATGTATCTAGATGAGGTGACTGCATTATGTTGGTCTGGTGGTTCAGATAAGGTCACAGGTGGTAATATTTAGCATGAATAAGTCACTTCACTTAATCTGCCTTATGGTTGGGCTGGGCAGATGGTACTTGTTTATAAGAAGCTTGAGTCATTTTATCATTTTTACCCAAAGTATAGTAACTCAGGACAAGCTGCTGCTCTGTACAGTAGTAGAGAAGTTATTAGTGGTGGTCTTGGATTAAGAGTGACTACTAACTACCTGGCATCGTGACAACAAGGTGTAGGGCAGAAAATGTATCAGAACAAAATGTGTCGTATGGGCCAACTCTTGAGCACCTGGTTAATGAAGAAGAAATAAGTTTCAAAGTATATAATTCTCGGTGGATCTGGAAAAAAATCCAATTTTCAAATATATTTATCAGTCAGCTTTTACAGTATTGTGCCAAAATATCTGACATATATAAGTTAGAGAAGAAAGTTTATTTTGGCTCATCGTTTGAGAGGTTTCCATCCATGGTGGGCTGGCTCTGCAGCAGAAAATCATGACAGAAGGGCAGGGCAGAGCGAAGCTGCTCACCAAGAAGTAGAAGAAGAAGAGCCAGACAGGCATCTCTCAGGCCACTCGAGTTGACAATCAAGATTAAACATCACAGATACGCAAAAAGCTGTAGTTTTATGTCCATAGTTTGTTTATGCTTTGGCTTTAAAAAAGGCCACCACATATATAAGCTTCGGGCCCCACAAATCCTAGGTCAGCACTGCCAAGATTAGATTCTAGAGGAAAACAGCATCTACAAAAGCAATTAAACTCTGCTCAGTCTTTATCAGTATTCTTCAGAGAAGCAAATTACGACTGGACTGGCATTCAAACAACTCAGGTTAAATTAATGGAAGATTCATCTGCCTCTTGTTCCCTACACTGTGTACCCAGGTAAACATCCGAATCTCAGTTGCAACCAGCCTCCGGGAACCAATCAAGTTCACAAGTCAAGGGTCCACCATAAATTGTACGTGTGTATATACGAAGAGGAAGTGGGGGGATTTTAAGGAATTGGCTCATGTAATTATGGAGGTACAAGTCCAGAACCTGCAGGATAGATACACATGACCTGATGCTCAAGTTCAAAGTCAAATCAGCTGAAGAATTCCTATTGCTAAGTGGGGGTAAGACTGGATGGAGAGTTGGACCTGAGAAGACTAACCTTTATTCTATTACGGATTTCAACCGATCTGTTTTACTCAAAAGTCTACTAATTTAAGGGTTAATCCCCCCCCCAAAAAAAAAGCTTTCACAGAAACAACTAAAATAATGTTTGGCTAAAATCTGGGCACCTTGGGCCAGGTGATCTGATACACAAAACTAACCATCACAAGCCAGGCCCGGTCACACATGCCCATAATTCCAGCTGTAGGAGTATGAGGCAAGAGAATTGCATATTCCAGGCCAGCCTGGGCAATCTGCCAAGACTCTGTCTCAAAGTAAAGTATGAAAAGGGATGGGGATATAGTTAGTGTTCCCCAGACTCAATTCCCAGTACTGGGGGGGAAAAAAAAAAACAGTTGGCCATCACAACCCCATTCTCCCAGTGTAGTACGGCAGAACTTTGGGTAGATGGGGCACCTCACCTTGAAGTCTACGAGAGCAGGGCTCTCACACTCAATAGATGTACTCTGTGTGTGTCCAGGCTCCACCTTTCAGGAGAGAATCTGGTTGGCCACCTCTGATTATGTCTCCATGCTTGCTTAATCACAGCAGGGAGGTGGTTGTGTTCATAGGAAATTTCAGGCTGTCTTTCAGCGATGACAAGAGCAGGTCAACTCTGAGACATACAGGAGTTATTTAGCCTTATCTAAACCATTAAACAAATCAAAACTAGATACCACTTCACACCCATTAGAGTAACTTAACCAAAAGATACTTAACATCCAAAATGTTGGTGAGGATATGAAGCAAGCCTTAGGGACATGTGACTACCCCATAAAAAGTTAAGACACACACCCACTGTATGACCCCGTCATTACACTTCTAGACACCAAAGAGAAAATGTCCACACAAAGCCTAGTGTGTGAATGTTCACAGTAGCTTCATGTATAACAGCCCCAACTTAGACACAACCCAAGTGCCCATCAAGGATTAATAATGTAAAGCTACAATATAATTCCAATCAGTAATAATGATTTAAAAACCCACAACTCTGATACATGCAACAAGGATGAATCTCAAAATGATGAGTCAAAAAAGGCAAGAAAATGTGTTCCCTCTGCTATGAGGCCGTCACCCAAAGCCGCACGAGCCGGGCGTGGTGGCGCACGCCTTTAATCCCAGCACTCGGGAGGCTGAGGCAGGAGGATCACTGTGAGTTCGAGACCAGCCTGGGCTACACAGTGAGTTCCAGGTCAGTCTGAACTACATAGTGAGACCCTGTCTCAAAAACACCAAAAAAAAAAGGCCTGCATGAAGCTTTTGTACCTGCAGAACTGTGAGCTAAATAAATGTCTTTTATTTGGTTAAAAAAGTATGGGTGGGCCAAGGGTATAGCTCAGTGGCACATATCAGCCTGTCAAGCACAGGCCCTGAGTTCGATTTGGTACCCAAAAAAAAAGTGTGGGCGCAAAAGAGAGACTATAGCATGAATTTCCATTTATTTAAAATTCAAGAAAATACAAACAATTATGTCACCATAAAGTAACTGGGGATGAAGGTGAAGGGAGAGGTGGATTACAAAGGATCCAAGAAAACTTTTGGGCATGAGGGGTGATCATTACCTTTATTGTCCTGATAGTTTGTTTGCTAAAACTGATTAAACCAAGCTTTACAGCTCTGTATATGTGCAATGTCCTTCAATTATACCTGAATAGCCTGGCATGGTGACACATGCCTGTAGTCCCTGCACATGGGAGGCTGAGGCAGGAAGCTTGCCATGAGTTTAAGGCCAGCATGAACTACATAGCAAGACCCTGTCTCAAACAAAAAAGTCATACCTGAATAGTTGTTTTGTTTGTTTACAGTATTTATTTGGTTGTCAGGGACCAAACCCAGAGCCTCCTGAATGCTAAGCACACACTTTATCACTGAACCATATCTCCCCAAGACTTCAAAAAATGAAGCTAATAGTAAAATCCTCTGGCTGCTTATACATCGAACCAAGGACCTCAACATGGTAAGCAGGGAACTCTACTTGGAGCTACACCAGTAGCCTGATATACATATATCTCCTCATCCAATCGCTTTAAGCGTATCTCTAGTCACTGTCAACGGGAGTATTCACTCTCTAACAAGCTTAATTTCACCTGTTTCACTGGGAAGGCTGTTCTTTGCTTACCTCAGTTCCATCCACAGAAATGTCAATGCCCTCTGTAGCCTTAATTCAGAATCACCATGAACATTCTAAATTAGTAGTTGTTGAAATCTGAAACTAATTCAAACACATGTTTATAGCTTTTGTTTGCCTCCTTCGTGAACCCTGCCCTGGCCCCATCCCAGTGACCAAGCCAAGGCATCAGTAGAAATGAAGGATCTTAAATAGGTACAAAAGAAACTAGATACTTGCAACAGTCTACCAGAGGCTACAGTTATAATGCAAGCAGTTCTGCAATGCTTCTCAACAGCCCAGCAAAATGTCAGGTCTTTTGTTGTTTTTTCAAACAGGGTCTCTCTGTCAGGCTGGCCTTGAAAGCACGATTCTTCTGTCTCAGAATCCCTGGGAAGTGCTGGGATTGCATGCATGCAAGTTCGCCCGCTGTTGCTTCAATCTTTTTTTTTTTTTTTTTTTTTTTTTTTTTTTGAGATAGGGTCTCACTACGTGGTTGAGGCCAACCTGGAACTCACTATGTAGCCGAAGCTGGTCTCGAACTCATAGCGACCCTCCTGCCTCAGCCTCCCAAGTGCTGGGATTACAGGCGTCCACGCCCGGCTTGTTGCTTCAATTTTAACAGAGGTGAAGTCAGGCTCAAACATTAACGGACACTAAACCCAGCGAGGATCAAAAAGCCTTTTATAAGCCTGGCGTGGTGGCGCACGCCCGTAGTCCCAGCACTCGGATCGCTGTGAGTTCGAGACCAGCCTAGGCTACATAGTGAGTCCCAGATTAGTCTCAACTACATAGTGAAACCGTCTCAAAAAAACAAACAAACAAAGCCTTTTATAGGAGTCTCTGACCCTAATCCTTTCCGGACAATCTTCAAATAGTGAACTCGGATGACTTCGCAATAGCACGAGCTAAATCATGAACTGCAAGCACACCACGGCCAAGTAAACCCTTTCCTCCCATCTCTCAACCAGACAAACTAGGTCCCAGGCCAAACTCTAAAATGTACAGGTTGGGCTCCAAATTCCCTCGCCCGGATCCCAACTTCTCCTGGGAAATCCAACAGCAAAGATGAGGGAACTACAACGACTGGACCGCGCAGCCAACTCGCGGAACCAGGAGGAGGACTCGCCAGCCCATCCGGGCGTCTCCGATTGGCCGTCGGCTACGCGTGGAACGCTGGACGTATTGCGTCACATCCTCCGGGGCCGCCATCTTGGTCCCAGGGGCAGTTGGCGGAAGAGATCGCGCTCCTTGGCCGCCGACTTGCCTCCTACCTGGAGTTCTCGCCGGCCGCGTCTTGGCGTCTGCTCTCGGCGCGAGATCCATTTGTCTGCGTCCCGCTTGCCCTCCCTTGCTTGGCTGGGGCACAGCGAGACGGATTTTTCTCTTGACGGCGTTCCATGGAGTAGAGTCCCGTACCGTTGTCCCGAAGAGCTAGATCAGCTTGGCCCCCTTTCCCCCTCCCTTCTCCCTCCCTCCTTCCTTCCGCCGCAACATGGCTAACAACAGCCCGGCGCTGACAGGCAACTCGCAGCCGCAGCACCAGGCGGCCGCGACCGCGATGCGGCGGCGGGGGCGCCACCAAGCCGGCGGTCTCGGGCAAGCAGGGCAATGTGCTGCCGCTGTGGGGCAACGAGAAGACCATGAACCTCAACCCCATGATCCTGACCAACATCCTGTCGTCGCCTTACTTCAAAGTGCAGCTGTACGAGCTCAAGACCTACCACGAGGTGGTGGACGAGATCTACTTTAAGGTACGAAGCGTCTAGGCCTTGGGGGTAAGTTCGGGAGAGGGATATGGAGGAAACCGGCAGAGGCGGCCCCCGAGATCCGAGGATGTGTGGGTGGGGAAGGTGGGCCAAAGGGGAGCTGCGGCCTGTAACCTGTCCGGGAGGGGTCTAGCTGGGGCCGCCCTCTCGTTTCCTTTTCTGATTTTTAGGGCCAGGAGAGCCCGCTACTAGCGACCTTTCTCCTCCCCAAACCTCCTGCCTACCCTCGGGGTGTGTTGGGCAAGAGGGGGTAGGGAAGAGGAGAAGAGTAAGAGAAGCCTCTCCAGTTCACATCTTTAAAATTATTCCTTCTGACGTGGATCTCCCAAGCGCCAACTTGTTGGTGCTTCTCTCGCTCACCCCGGGCCAGGGTGTGTAATGATTTGAGTGTGGCCCCGTGTCGTTGGTACTCTCCAGTCCAGACAGGGACTTGGTCAGTTCCTCTGTGTCGGGTGGGGCGGGAGGGTTGAGGGTGGAGAGGTGCCAGTGCTAGAGGTGTACAGAAGGCCTGGACATTTTCCCAGCAGGAAGTCAGGAGTGTGAGGTCTCAGCCACCTGTGCATTGGGCATACTTAGAATCATCTGGGCCCTGGGCTTCTGCGGCAGGGTCGGTGCTGGCTTGGCTGTGCTGTGGAGCTCACCTGGCGCCTCCTCACTGCACTCTTGTCTCAGTTCTTGTTTCGTTAGCAGGATTGACTCAGTCTTGCAGCGAGGCTCGGAGCAGCCCAGGGTCGCAGGTAGAGGTATGCACTATTAATCATGCTCAATCGCCATAAATGCATTTCCCTGGTTAAATGAACAGCTGATTCGAATTTTTTATTTTGTTTTCTTTTTTGCGGCCATTTGTTTTGGTCTTTACCAACTAGATAGGCGTTCTCCACTTCCCTGCAAATTATGTAGTTTTAAAAAATACGTTCCAGGCCTCCTAAGGTTGATTTCTATTTTAAAAATAATAATAGCCTTAATGGTCTTTAAGCACTTGAGCATCTAATATATGTACTGTTTTGACGTTTAAGAACTTGAGACATTACGTATTTTCTGTCATCTGAAATCATACGTGTGGAGGTTTAACAGAAGGGCATTCTTTGTTTTGCCCCCCACCCGCACCCCAGTCAAGTGTTACTGAAAGATTTTTGAGGGGTTAATTGCTTTCTAAAGGAAACACTTTGAGGGATACAGTTCAACTTTGGGTACATAAATTTGGTATTCTCTTAAAGAATATATAGTAGGTCCAGTTGTAATACAATGAAGTAGTTTTTAACTATCCTGTAAAAGGTAAGACCTTTTCAAATGGATACAGTGTGGCAAATAATATTTAACCCTTAAGTTTATTGAACAGTTGAAAATTGGGTTCCTGCTTTTGTGGCAGATTGTTTTAAAACAGGCAAATATTAATGTAACAGAGGAAAATTTTGATTTCAAGTTTCAGATGTGTTTTGAAGCAGCTTAAAGTTATTCAGTTTTAAAACTAATGACCCAGATTTATCATTGAAACATGTAGGCTTCCAGTTTTGTGTGTGAAATTCTTTTATTGCATCTGCCACCTACATTGGCTAGCCTTTAAGGAATTGGAATAGTGCTTGCACAGCAAGCTAGGAGGAAGGAAAGTAGTAAAGCGCTGCTGGAGTTGGGCAAAATAGTGCAGTGCTTAAGTTAAAACGCAGGCTTTCTGTCTAAAGCCATGAAAGGAACTGTAAAATGTTAGTTTATGTGAGTGGAAATATACGTTTAGAAATAGAGTGAAAGAACAGTTTTTTATTTTTGGTTTAAAAAATTTAAAAATAGGTCTTATTTTTCAACAAGATTGGCTTTTATTTTGGAGATTTTTTTTTTTTTTTTTT